CCTATGACTATATTTTCAAATATCCTATTTTCAAGCTCACTGATTCTTTTCCCTGCTTGATTCATTCTGCTATTGTGAGGCGGTGATAAATTTTTCAGTTCAGCTAATATATTTCTCAGCTCCAAGGTTTCTATTTGATTTTTAAATTATTTCAATCTCTTTTTAAAATTTGTCTAATAAATTTATGTATTGCTTTTCTGTTACCTTGGAGATCTCTGAATTTCCTCAAAGCTATTAATATTAGTTTGAATTACTGATTACAGAGCTCTCGTAGAGTCATCTCATTAGGTTCAGTCGCTGGTTCCTTGCTTTATCTGTCTGGGGAGGTCATGATTTCTTGTTGGCTGCAGTCTTTTGTGGATGTGCAAGAAATATATATCTTGTATTGATGTCTTTGAATGACGAATTAGTTATTTATTCCAGGATTAGTTATTTATTCCAGTGTTCTCTGTCTAGCTTATTTTTGTTTTTTTTTTTAATGAATATGTTTGCTTATAGATGCTTTGTAATGTACCTGTTGATTTTCTGTGTGTGTGTGTGTGTGTGTGTGTGTGTGTGTGTGTGTGAGGCTAAATTCCTGCCCTCTTTTTGGCACTAGATATCACCTTATGACCAACTGTGCCTTGGTTCCAGTAAAAAAAATCAGAGAGCGGCTTATCCCAAATAGGGAAGGTCTCAAAGGGGATATCATGGCAATGTGGGAAAAGTGGCTGGGAATTCATGCCCAGGGAACCTGTGCAACATATCTTTTGCAACGTGGTGCTACTAAACAACGACTCTGGTTTGGCATCTCCTTTAGCTGAGTTAAAGACCAGAGTTTCCAGGGCTAGGGATGGTAGTCCCACCTCACCTGTTGTCTCTGACTGTTCTCAGGATATTTCTTTCTTTAGGCATATGTAGTGCTTCCTGTTGGTTGAGATAGGGACAGGTGTCCTGCCAGGGAACACAGATGGTGGGAAACCTGGTTTTCCACTTTAATGCTGTCCCTTTTTCTAGTATAGAAATCATGAGTCAGGTGGAGATTTTTTGCACACTTGGTGCTGGGCAAGTTGGACGGATAGGCATTGTAGATGTGGAAACCCAATTCTCTTACTGTCTACTTAAGAATTTTTTCTCCATCTCTGTGGAGAAAAAGGTGTTTTCTCCTTGTATTTGATTTCTGGGATATTGTTGGTGATACTTTCAGTGCTGTATATTTGGTTTTGGTTTTCTTTGTAAAAATGTGAAGCCAGCTTGCTTCTACACTATTATTTTGGAACAAGAAGTCCTCTGTTGGCTTTTTAAGCTAATTCTCTTTAAGACAATTATTTTATCTTTGAATTAATTGTTTTTATGTAAATTACAAGTAAGTCTTAATGGTTCCTTTGCTTTGTTAAACAGTACATATTTGCAAATAACACAAGTGTAGTTTTAGAGCTTCACAATCAATAATGACTACAAAACTCAATATATGAGGAATCATAACTCCAAGTGAAAATAATATAACTCTTGGTCTTCATTTATTTGCAGTCACTTCCATTTTCATTATTTCGTTAACCACTATAGCCACATTCAGAAAGCTGTGTCATAACTAAATAGTCCAGTGATGCCTATTTTATAGTCAGTAAATTGATTAAAAATTAATAATTTAAATGTGTTTCCATAATTTGCCTATCTTAAATTACAATTTTTAAAAAATGCTTTTAAAGAAGTAACAGTTTTTACTTCTGTTGTGATTGTATTTTATTAGTTTTTCTTTTTATGGATCATGCTTTTGATGTCAAGTCTAACAGCTCATCACTTAGCTGAGGGCCTGAATAATTTTTCATGTTTTTTAATGAAAATTCTATACTTTCATATTTGATATTTAAGTTCATAGTCCATTTTGAGTTAATAAATTATGAAATTTAGGTGAAGATTCATTTTTTTGGCCTATTGATGGCCAGTTGTTTCAATATCATTTATTGAAAATTCTATTCTCCTTCTATCGAATTATTGTTGTACTTTTGCCAAAAATCATTGGACATATTTGTATGGGCCTGTTTCTGGTTCTATATTCTGTTCTATCGATCAATATATCTGTCCTTCTGCTAATACCTTACTGTGGTGTTACAGTAAGCTTTAACATCAGATAGAATGATTTCTCCGACTTTATTCTTTCTTTTCAAAGTTGTTTAAGCTATCCTAGGGTCTGTGCCTTCCCTAATAATTTTAGAATTAGTTTGGCTACATCTATAAAAAACTTGCTGGTATTTGGATGGAAATTGCTTTAAATCTGTAGATAAGTTGGAAAGAACTGACATTTTTAGTGTATTGAATCTTCCGATCCATGAACATGGTAAGTATCTCCATGTATTTAGGTCTTTGAATTCTTTCATCAGCATTTTGTCATTTTCAATGTATAGATCTTGTATATATTTTGTTAAATTTATTGTATTTCATTTCTTTGGAGCAATTGTAAATGGTATTGTGTCTTTATATTCTGTTTCCACATAGTCATTGCTAGTATGTACAAATTCAGTTGATTTTTGTTTGTTGATCTTGTACCCTGTGACCTTGTTGAACTTACTTATCAGTTCTTAGAGGGTCTTTAGAATTTTTTTTTTTTTAGATTCTTTGGTATTATTCTATATAAACAGTCATGCCATTTGCATGTAGATTTTTCACTTTCTTTTTGATATGTACACATCTTACTTATTTTTCTGGTCTTATTGCTGTACTAAAATGTCAACTGCTATGTTGAATAGGAGTGGTGAGCACAGGCATTGTTGCCATCACTGATCTTAGAGGGAAAGCAAACTAAAATCTTATTTTCTGTGAAAAACCCTATGAAGAAGATAAAAAACAAAAAACAACCTAGAGAGAAGCTATATGCAGGGCACATGCCCAACAAAGGCCTTGGATCTAGAATTTATGAGGAACCCTCAAAAATCAATAGTTAAAAAAAAGAAAAACAGAAATAGGTAAAAGGCATGAACAGACAATTCACCAAAGAGAATATACAGATGACAAGCACATAAGAAGATGTTCATCTTCGTTTGCCTTTGGGGAACTGCTGATTAAAACCTGGATGAGTAGCATCATACACCTATCAGAAAGGCTTATGTAAAAATAGTGACAGCACCCCATGCTGATGCAAATTTCGAGAAATGCTGGTGAGGATTTGGAGAATTACATGAAGATTTGGAGAAACTGAATTGCTCACACATTACCCATACTCATACAATGGGAATGTAGACTGATACAGCCACTGTGGAAAACAATTTATCAGTTTCTTGAAAAAAAAAAAAAAGTTTCCATATTACCCAGCAATAGCACTCTTGGGGCATTTATACCAGAGAAATCAAAATTCATGTTCACACAGGAACCTGTATGTAAATGTTCATAGCAGATTATATTCACAGTAGCCAAAAACCAGAACAACCCAGATGTCCTTCAACAAATTGATGGTTAAAGAAACTGGCACACATCCACATCCTGGAATATTATTTAGCAATAAAAAGAAGCAAATTATTGTTACACCAACAACTTGGATAGATCTCTAAGTTATTCTGGGTGGAAAAAAAGTCAATCACAAAAGGTTAGATATTGTGTGATTTTATTCATAAAATGAATTTTTGCTGTTTCTTCTTGAAATAACCAAAGTATAGAGAAGAAGCACTGATACCATTTGTCAAGGGTTAGAGATTGGGGTAGGTGAGCGTGACTTTATAGGGATAGCAGGAGGAAGTCATGTGACAGAATAGCTCTGTATCTGGGCTATGGTTATAGTTACATGAATCTTCACATATAATACAATTGCATGGAGCTATGCACACACATGCACACACACACTCTCACAGTCACAGCCGAATGTAAAACTGGTGAAATCTGATTTAAGCTTTGTGGATTGTCCCAATGTCAGTTTCCAGGTTTTGTTATTACATATGTTTAAACAAGATGACATCATGGGAGGCAAACTGGGTGAAAGATATACAGGGCCACCCTGTACAACTTCCTATATATCTATAATATAAAATAAAATGTTTTATGGTAGACATGGTGGCTCATGCCTACCATAGGCTGGGCATGGTGGCAGGTACCTATAGTTCTTGCTACTCAAGGGGTTGAGGAGGGAGGATTGGAGTTTGATATTGCAGGGAGATACAATGGCACTACTGCACTCTAGCAGCCGAGACAACAGAGCAAGACCCTGTCTCTAAAAAACAAAAAAGTTTTTTAAAAAAGACTTAAAAATTTTAAGTATAAAAATGACATGAAAAGTTATGAAAATAAAGGAATGCTTATTTTTTTCTGTTTTTATATGCTTTGGAGTTACAGTTGACAAAACTTACATGTGTCCACCATGTCTTGCTGAAATGACTCATACTCAGCTTGTTCCACATGTGACTCTCTAAGCAAGTTCAGTAACACCTGAGCTGGTTTATATCCTGATCTGCTGAGCACACTTCTCAGTGCTCTGACAGTATCAAATTGCCGTAAGAGTTTCTGAGCACTTACTCCCAGTTTCTCGACTCACTGTGGACCAGCAACAGACCTTTGTAGGCCTGCACCAACTCAGTGACCACACCCGGCTGTACTGGTGTCCACGCACAGTGCAGAATCTAGTGTTGGGCTGAGTGTTGCTCCTGGTCTCCATGTGAGCCGACAGGGCTCGGCTCTTCATATAAGAAACAGATATGCTTTTGTTGCGGCCACAAAGTCTTCTGTGCCTTTCCAGAATTACAGTGCTGCTTCAAGTTCTACCTTAGGATAATAAACAGGGACACACAAGGACAAATTTGTTACTTCTTTTGGAGAGCATTTCTTATTATCAATGATTGCTTCCTGCTTTCTCCGGGAAACCTATTAATACAAGTCTTCCTTATCTATTGGACTAGGTTAAAAATATTATATTTTCTTGTGACTGGAAATGAGATCTTTCTGGTTAAACCTTGACATCTCTTTTACTCTTCTGGCAATCTGTGGGTTTGCTTTTCCCCCTGTGTGGATCATACAAAGTTGCTGTCATCTTCTTACAGTTCAACATCATGGATATAGTGGCCCAAATGAGAGAACAACGTTCTGGAATGGTTCAAACGAAGGTAAGCTTTCACCACGTACATTATAATAAAATACCTATGCAACTATCTTGCATGTTCTGCACATGTACCCCAAAACCTAAAATGCAATAATAAAAAAAAGAATAATGAATATAAAGATTGACATTGCATAACACTTTACTGCTTATAAACCTCTTTTTTGACATAATCTCATTGAATTCCTACTGCTTGAGGTAAACATTAGTTTTGCTTTGGTGCTCTGGTATTCCTGAACAAGTACTTCAAATTCAGAGCAAGGAAGGTGCTCTATGGGGTCACTCAGAAGGGGAGGAGCCAAGCCCCAAGCTGAGGTCTCCTGATGTCCAAACACGTGCCTTGTCCATAATGCCGTGCTATTTCAGTAACATCTAAAGTTATTTTAAAACATTTCTAGATAGCACTTTTAGATATTTAGTTGCCACTAAACTGTCAAGGTTATTGGGATGTGGTAAAAATACATCGTTTATGTCACAGAGTAGTAATCATTGGGAGAGCAGATAGAGTATAGATAATAATAAAAAACAGCTGTGTTAAGCCTTCAGGTAACTAGTTCTAGGCCAAGAACTATATCATGATCATTTATCTTCCTCACAGTTTTAAAAATGTATTTGCATAAAGTTCTTAAGTGCTTATAGTTAAATGTTTGCTAATTTTAGGAACTTTTCAGTGTGGCTGAAAATTACAAATGTGTTTTCTGAAAGTGCATCCTAATAATTTGATTACTTAACATTCTGTTGTTTTTCATATATACATACATAGGAGCAGTATCACTTTTGTTACAGTATTGTGCTTGAAGTTCTTCGGAAACTTCTGACTTTGGATTAAGAAAAACTTCTGTTGCCTCTCATTTGAAAGTACCAAGTGGCATGGCTTTGAGCCTCCTCAAGAAGAACATGCTCACACTGTGCTGAAGGGCTTTGCTATCATACAATCTGCTTTCTTGGTTTATCAATTTATGTTCTTTCTAAAAAAATCCCTGAAGGGCAACATTGTTTGGCTTGGGGTGAACAGTGTTTACTCATTGATCTTGCTAGATGATATATAAAAATATCTTCCCACGTTTTCCAGTGAAACAGATGTTACATAAAATAATGGCAGCTTGGCTGTTTGGTTGAAGGGATTACATAGCCCAATAAAGGATTTAAACTGTATTCATTAAGATTTTATTTGGAAAGGTGGCTGGAGAGAGCTGAGAATTTCCAAGACTTTATAAGCCCTTGTTCTGGGAGAACATAAAGGCCAGTAAACTGCAGGATCACATCATGACCTCTTCCAGGCATTTTTAAGACAGATATCTATTCATGTTCTTTAGCTAGAGTCTGTACTTCTAGCTGGCATTTGAATAACCCAATTTAAAAAGAGTCCAGTTAGGGTGGACTAACTTTGGACACAAACTGGCTTCCATTTCCTACATTTTCACGCTGCTCCCCTCCTACAGCAGCTAGACCAGGACCTGTTGGTCTGGGAAGCATTTCATAGATGGGCAGAGCTCATTTTGGTGAACAGTCCAAAACTAAAATAGTTGTTTATATAGAAAGTCCAAGAGGAAATTTTTGCCAGGCCTGAGTTCTTTCCTATCCCACCCTAACACTTAACATATTACTCAGTCCGCTTTGTTAAAAGCAAGTATTATATTTAACTTGCCTCTTACTCTTTGCCCTTTAGCTAACTAATAAAGTTTGATATAGGCATTATTATATAATTCTGAGTCATTTGGGGTATCTCTCACGCCTGATGTATTTTTCAAACTCAGATCTATGGTAGTTTTTTCTCCAGAGTTCCATTAAATCATTTATTTCCATTACTATCTCACCTCTGCTGAAACATTTAGAAACTAGATTTGGGAACCAGATTTTGGAAAACCAGATTCATAGTCATGAAAGTGGAAACTTCCATATTCTGTTTTTGAAAAGTGTGTGGCCATTATTACATTAATTTTCTCATACAATGAATAGTGATATTCTGTACAAGGAGTTTTGGTGACCAGTTATACCTCATTATAAGCTATAAAACAATTGATATGTGTGTTTTACAGTTAACTTTGAAGATCAGACTGTTCTATGCATTGAGAAAATGTTTACTATTAATCTATAAATCTTGAATTTCTAAGAGGCTTGTTTTGTTCTTTTGGCTGAATGGGTATATATGAATTGGTTGAATAATTGATAATTCTCATTTAAAAAATATTATATGCCATAAATGTATTTGATATGAAATCAAATAGATGATTCTGTTTACATTGTTCATACAAATAATAGTCTGTTAAACATTAATTTCATTTTGATAATTGGCCTTTAATATTTGTATCTAATTTTATTTTCTCTGTTACTGTAAAATAATAGATATAACGTTTAACAGTTTTCTTGAGAAGGATTCTGTGCCATTACTTAAATAAAATATTTACTATGTGTTGCCTGAAGTATTTTTATTTATCTACGCCTTGAAATAGTCTTGTAAAGAAAAATCCCACAATGCTTGATGTTAAACATGTCTCTTCTTTAATGTGTGCCTCATATTTTTACAGCTGGACTAATTTTAGTTTTCCAGGGAAATTAAAGGAGTGACTATGGAAATACTAATTGCACTTGTTTTCACTTCATTCTTAGAAAGTGAATGCCAAACTGAAAACCTCTGACTAATTGAAATAATTTTATATCAATAATGAATCAGTTTCTGCCTGTGATATGAATATAAAACTCTGATCGACACCTTTGTAAGTATATGAATGCTAAAGGAAGTTTTAAATTCCTTTAAACATGTCCAGATAATGCTCACATCTAAATGAACAGTAAATGTCTGAAAAGAGCCAAGATGTTTTTGAGAAAGAAAAATTAACTGGAGAAAAGGGAAATTTAAATATAAGCATGTATACATTTATTAACTTTCAGTTTTAAATACATATTTTTAAAGTTGTATGTTCTTGAGGCTTACGTGTTAGACCAGGCTTTTCAGAAATAAACATTGTATCTTTTTTCTTTAATTAGAGTTAGTAATTTATTTTTCTTTGGACTTTTTACCCCAATCTCCCTAGAACATTATTGAATTTTCAGCTAAGTTTACCTTTAGTACTCAAAAGTTATTTTAGTGATTTATTTTTATTGAAAAAAACCTCAAAGGAAAACACCTTTAAAAATCCTGAAGCCGAAAACTTTTATTTTCTACTTAATTTTTTCGAATTCCTGGGAAGAATTCATTTTCTTCTATGTTTTCTTGAGGTTCATGTAATTGAAGAATAAGATTCAGAAGATCTCTATTAAGTGAAATCAAATCATTAGTATTCAATGGGGGTGATGGATTGCACACTGGAACACTCATTTGTCTTAGCCACAATCAAAAAACATTACCTCACAATTAAACAACTGGAATTAGAAGGGATCTTAAAAGACTGAATACAACCATGGTATCTGAAACTTGAATGTAACAAAGAACATTTTTTAGAAACCAACAGCAGCATCAAATTTGTAGGTGAAAAAATAGAGCCCTCCTATTAACAAAACAATACCTCCTGTTAGCACAGTAGCTGAGTATCGCTCCAAAGTTATCTAGCCAATGCAATAAGACTATAAAAGTGCTGTAAAAATTGGAAAGCTAGGACAAAATTCTCTTTTGTTTGTATGTTGTCCACATAGAAACAATAGACTCAACTCAAAAATAGCATTAGCACATTTATTATGAAGTTAAGATACAAGATAACTATGTAAAAATTAATCTTTCTCTATATCTATTATCTGTCTCTTCATCTATAGCCATCAAACTATGGCCCACAGGCCATATCTGACTTGTTCCTTTTTTTGTAAATAAAGTTTTATGCCCATTTGTTTACATATTGTCTATGGCTGCTTTTGTATTATGACAATGGCTGAGTGATAGTATCAGCAGAGACCACATGGCTTAGAAAGCCTACAATCTTTACCACCTGGCCCTTTAAAGAAAATGTTTGCCAACCCCTGTTCTATATCTTCAACAGGAAAAATATCTATGCCTATAAATATCTAGGCATTTATAAGATATATATTTTATAAAATACATGAAATACTTAAGATTAAACTTAACAAGAACATTAAGTAACAGATGATGCTTATGTTCTAAATGAACAGTAATTGTATGAAAAGAGCCAAGATATTTTTGAGAAAGAAAAATAAACTGGAGGAAAGGAAAAGGGTTTGCTTTAGCAATAGTCAAAACTATTATCTAAAGTCACAGTAATTAAAACAATGTGATTCTGGTACATGGATATATAGATAAATAAATGGCACAAAATAGAGTTAAGCATTACAGACCCCTTTATATTTGTGAATCTATTATATGCTAAGGATAGCATTTCAAATACAGAGTTTCAGATACATGAAACAAAAATTGATAAATCAGATAAAACTGGAAAAATATGCAAATCCATAATTAGAGTTTGAGATTTCAGCATTTGTCTCTAAGTAATTGATAGAACAAGTAAATGAAAAATAAGTAAAGATATAAAAGATTTGATGTAACTGCCAACCTGTTTGATGTAACTGATACTTACAGAACACTAAACTACAGCAGAGTACACATTCTTTTCAAGTGGACATAGAACATTCACCAAAAGAGACTATATTTTGGGCCATTAGTTTCATTATATTTCAGAAGAAGGGAACTATATAAAATATACTTATGGAATTCACTAGAAATCAATAAAGATTTTTTTAAATCCCCAAATATTTGGAAATTAAACAGCATACTTCTAAACAACTCATGAGTCAAGGAAAACATTAGAAGTTACAAAATATTTGGAATGGAATGAAAATGAAAATGCAACAAAACGTGTGAGATGCAGGGAAAAAACTGGGAGAAAAGTCATGCATTGTTTGGTTCATGCTGAATTTGTTATACCTATGCAGTCTCTACAAGTTTCATGCTAAAAAAGAGTCCTGAGCTGAAAACCCAGATCTGGAGGAATGCTTGCCTTCAAAGTGATGTTTGAGGGAATGGATGGGAATGGATAAGCAGGGGAACTTCAACATTCGCTTCCACCCTGATTGCCTTCCAGGGCCTCTCTTCCACGAAGCCTTCTAACACTCATCTCTCCCTCCTCTGATTCCTTCAGCAGTGCTTCTCAAACTCTGGTGAAGGGCCAGTTTTATTTACCAACTGATGGGCCTGAACCCAGCCAAAAGATCCAACAGATATGTACTAGGATGTGTGGTGGGGCTAAGCTGAGGATGGCATCTGAAACCGGATGGGCATTGCTCACTTTCAAAGTGGAAAAGTGTGAGGAGCACATGGTAGGGCTTCAAGGGGTTAGAGCATTGTATCTCTTATCTGCTCTAAAAGGTAACCAGCCGAGGCTCCTTTCCAGAACAGAGTCACACTGAGGAGAATCCTTAGAATTAAAATTGAGCAGAATGAAGAGAATGGGGTGAAGAAAAGAGGTCATATAAAAGTGAGTGAGGAGTATAGAGCCAGAAAACCTCAGAAAGCAAGCTTAGTGAAGTTACAAGAGCTGTCTGTTCAAGTCAAGGTTAGTTCAGGAAAACCAAATTCACATGGAAACAAGCAGTAGAGAGGATTATGATCAAATCCCATACAAGTTACCTTAAGAAAAAAAAAAACAAAAAAAAAACATAAAACCAAGGAGCTGAATAGCATAGGCTACAAACAATGAAGGTACACCAGAAGGATATCCGCAAAACACAGTTCTCAATGGCAAGCAGCTCGGGAAGAAAACGATACCCTACTATTTCAAAACGAGCTTAAAGACAATAGGAAAATTGAATAAAACATGATGGAACAACAAAACTTAGAACTAGACAAATTTAAAGCAGTATGACAAATCAAGAAATAAAAATTAGAATAAAAACAAACTAGAAGGAACACAACAAATTTGATAACCGATGCTTTACAGAAAATAGAAAGCTTAAAAGGAATAATTTCAAAACAAAATGTAGAAAGAAAACAGGACTTAAGAGCATAAACAATTCAATGATAGGTAAAGAAGACTAGTAGATAGTAGAAAGTTTAAAGAAAAAACTAAAGCAAGTGTCCAGAACAAATTCACTAATTCAAGAAATATTTAGAATAACTAAAGAAAATATTCCTGAAATAATTGTTTTAAAAATTATATGTGGAAATATCATAGTACATATCTGAAACCATCAAATTAGTATGACCAATACCAAGGTTTAATACATTTGTTAAATAATTTATTTAAAAATTAATTTTTTAGTAAAATTGCTGTATTTTGAAGAAAGAAAATGGGAGGGAAAAAGAATATGAGGAAAAGAAAATTAGATTATTTTCCAATTTTTAAGAGTAAGGCTTTAGTACAAAAGAACAAAAGAAGATGAGATAATATAGTTGAATTAATAAGTTAATAATATAGTTAATGGTTAATAAGTCCAAGGAAAGATTTTTATGAGCCAAATATTTTATATCTAGAAAAACTGACCTTGATGCACAGGGTGCAAATTGAAATTGACATGCAAGAGCTCAGAAAATATTGTTCCCAAGAGCCATTCTTCAATAGTTGCAGAAAAATAATTCTAATCAAATTTGACATCTGTTCTATATTTTAAAAAAGTAAACTTGGAATAAAAGAGAATTACCTTAATCTGCTAGGGGATATCTACAGCAAACTTACAACAGAAGTACATTTTATGGTAAAACATTGTTTCTCTCCTACAAGTCAAGTATTGTCTTGGACTGTTCTAAAGAATGGATTGGGCCGGGCGTGATGGCTCACACCTGTAATCCCAGCACTTTGGGAGGCCGAGGTGGGCGGATTATCTGAGGTCAGGAATTCGAGACCGTGACAAACATGGAGAAACCCTGTCTTTACTAGAAATACAAAATTCACCCGGCTCGGTGGCACATGCCTGTAATCCCAGCTACTTGGGAGACTGAGGCAGGAGAATCCCTTGAACCCAGGAGGTGGACGGAGGTTTCAGTGAGCTGAGATCATGCCATTGCACTCCAGCCTCAGCGGCAACAAGAGTGAAACTCCATCTCAAAAAAAAAAAAAAAAGAAAAGAATGGATTGGAGTGCAACTGGGACACTGAGTCCACCATATAGCCCAGCTTGGAGACCATCACCCCAGGAAATCAAGTAAGCATCTCTTTATGTAAAAGAACATATCTTCCTCACTGGTAACGATGCCCGAATTCTTTTTCAGATAGGATGAGTGAGTGGATTTGGTTAATTCTCCACAGAGCACCTTTAAAATTCTCTGTTAAGCCTTTCTCCACAGGATCACCACTGAGATGTTAGTGATTAGAACCATGTCTCTTATAAATCAATGTATAGAAGGCACTTCATGGACCAAACCGAAATGTGTATGTCGACAGTATTTCATTCGCCAAGAAAATACACCTCCAGCAGAGCATAGGACTTCAGCATAGGTGCTGAAGGGCTTATTTACCAGGAATTCTGCCTGCA